CCAGACTAGTAAAAATAGCTGCATTATCTGAGACTACTACATCAGGCAATCCCAAGGTAGCAAAAGATTTCTCATTAATTCTATTGTTGCTGCTGTCATTGTAGGATTTGTAATACAGACTTCCTTCCATTTAGAATATGCATCTATCATAACCAGAAAAGACTTTCCTTCAAAAGGACCTGCATAGTCTATATGGACTCTTGACCAAGCTCTCTCTGGCCATGCCCATGGATGCAAAGGTACTACAGGCGGTGATTTCCTTTGAATCTGACATGAGACACATGATTTCACACACTGCTCTAACTCAGCATCTATTCCAGGCCACCACACATAACTACGGGCAAAACTCTTCATACGTACAATCCCTGTGTAGCCCTCATGCAACATCTTAATCACTGTTTCCCTCCCTCTCTTAGGGATTACAACACGATTCCCCCACAACACACACCCTTCCTCCACATTCAATTCATACCTTCTCCTCCAATATGGTACATATCCCTCATCAGTAACCTCTTTCTCAGGCCACGCAGACAATATCCAGTCACAAACTTTTGATAGCTCAGGATCACAATCGGTCCATTGCTTGATCTGCAAACTAGTAGTAGGAGAGGTATCCAAATATTCCATCAAGTGGATTAATTCCTGTGGTTTGGGAGTGAGAGTGAAGGTAGACTTCAGAGGTAGTCTGCTCATTGCATCTGCACAGACATTTTTCTTCCCTTCACGATACTGAATAGTATAAGAGTATGCTCCTAGGGCAAGGGCCCATCTCTGTATACGGCCTGAGGCTAACACAGGTGTTGCCTTCTTCTCACTAAAAATATGAATGAGAGGCTTATGATCCATCTTTAGTGTGAATTGTCTCCCATAAAAAAATTGGTGGTATTTCTTTACCCCAAAAATAATAGCAAGCGCCTCCGGATCAAAATGAACTAAGACTCGAGACAATTTGAGTAGTTCCTTAATAGAATGGAATGCAGTCTCTTGTGGTTCCTCCCAAGACCAACCCTTGTTCTTTTGGAGTAGGCTGTACAATGGTAATAGTACCGTGGCTAAGTCTGGTAAAAACTTGCCATAATAGTTGACCATCCCCAGGAAAGAACGCAACTCACTGACATTAGTGAACGATGGAGCATTAGATATAGCTGCAACCTTTGTATCAGAAGTACACAACCCTTTTGAGCTGATGACATGCCCTAAGTATTCTACAGAAGACAAAAGGAAACTGCATTTCTCCTTCTTCAGTCGCATTCCCGACTCTGCTAGTCTCCTCAAAACCTCTGACAAACAAGCGAGATGCTCCTCCTCTGATTGACCTGAAATTAATATGTCATCAAGATACACACAGACCCCTGGAATACCCTGCAAAAAAGTATTAATAACCCTCTGGAAAATAGATGGGGCTGATGCTATGCCAAATGGCAAACGGTTATACTGAAATAATCCCTTATGGGTATTAATAATAGTGAACTTACGCGAGTCTTCTTCTAACTCGACCTGCTGATACGCATGAGATACATCCAACTTCGAGAAAGTCTGACCACCTGAGAGTGATGCGAAAAGGTCCTCAATCCGTGGAAGTGGATATTTATTGAGACTTGCTACTCTGTTAGTTGTAACTTTGTAGTCACCACAAATACGTATGGTACTGTCTCCT